TATATATATATATATAATAAAAACAACTTAAAAATGCACTCACATGTAAAAGAAGTACTCCAGCGACAAAACTGAGACCTTGACAATAACCAACTTCGTGATCTAGCAAGGAGTAGGCCTTCAATAAATTAAAGAGTGCTAATTGACCAGGTCCCAAAGGTGAACTAAAATATGGATGGCTCGGAAAAGTTCTTCCCAAATCAATAAGGATAGCATGTTGTTGAGATGTGAGTTGTTTCAGGAGAAGTTCGTACGGTGTGTTATAATTTGGAAACTCTTGAGTATCTATAGGTGGTTGTTTCAAGCAGAATTGCTCGGCTAGAAACTGCCACACCTCACCTCTTTTTCCTTTTGGTACACCTGTCAAAAAATGTATATTTGGCAAGAGATTAAAAGATTTGTCACATTTTAGGAATATTGCTGAGATATATTTTTATTTCTCATTTTACCTTGCTTAATAGCATGTAAAAGCATTTGATTATCACATTTAGTAGAGACTCGCGATTCTTTGCTAACAAGAAGGTCCCAAACTTCTATTACTTCACGCGCGCAGCTACTAAGCTCGTCGTATTCGAGTTTAATCCTTTTTACTGTTGCCTCCTCTTGACGTTCTATCATTTTATTTAAAAAATTAGATAACATGAATATCTCATTATATATCAGAGGATTAAATATATTTTTAGATATGGGAGTTGTTACCTCTAAGCTTTGCGTTTTCTTTTTCCATCCTTATAAGTATTAGTTGTTGATTGATCGCTTTCTTCCACAAATCTCGCAATTCTTGTTTTGATCTACGTTTAACGGGAGTTTCCAAATTTTTGAGGATATTGATTTTTTCAATTTCTGTAGCGTTATGATCTTTATTCGGCGTCACAACTCTGTTTAGTATCGTTTGCCGCCACGAACTATTGGCTTGAATTGTGCTATTCCCGTCGGTCTCCGTAGGAGATGTTTTAGGTGAGTTACCAACTTTTAAAAAGCTGTGAGAAATAAAATAAGCTCATAAAATACACAATATAATTTTAAAAATGTCCACAAATTTTGAAAATATAATAAAATTGTACTAACATATCCATCATGGAACTCTTTGGTCCGTTATTTACAATTTGCTGTTCAGGCGAAACACGCAATGATCTTGGTCTACTAGATTCCGGCGAAATGTCCAATATAGATGATTGTCGCGAATTATCTGGACTCTGACTACCATACTTTTGTATTCCCGTACTCAGATGATTCGTGTCTCTCAGTTGCGGGCCCAGGCCGAAATCATCACGCGAACCTTTTCTTTTCATGAGATTATCAAAACTATTTGTAAGAGAGCGTTTTGCTTTCATAAATATCGTACTACCAACACCTACGCTTAGATATTGATTAAGAAATTCACTCCTGCAATGTAAAAATATTGTGTCAGAATGTTTCATTTGTAAACTATATTTTAATACTAACAGAAAATTGTGTTTACATATCCAGTTTATAGTGCATTACCTATTTTCAGCCGTATCATGTACATGTCTAGTTTGTTTCGACTCGCAATGAGCACGCAATAGTCGCATTAAGAATTGATTTTGCTCTCGCAGATTTGAGGAGCTTACTCCAATGTTACCCGCAGCCTCGGCACCCTTATACTTGCTCACAACGATTTCCTGCTCATCCTCCGGTAATAATTCCATACGGGAAAAGATAATACTTTGAACTCTTCTGTCATTTTGCCCTAAAAATGTGTGTAATATTTTATATAAAATTACATTATTTTTATAATATATAATTTAAATTACCTTCAATTTCTTGGCATAATTTATTATACCAATACATAGGACAGTGTTCGCAAGAAAATACAGAATACCTCTCCTTTCTTGCAACATCGCAAGTCGTAAGAAAAGCTTGACTAATTGCTGTGAAGAAAAACAGAAATTAGCATAACAAATAATAATTCTAATAAGAAGAATAATAGTACACGAGTCTTACTGTGTCATAGATAAATTAAAAAATCTTACCTGCAACAAGGTCATCGGCGACTGATCCGGATTGGCATTTGAAAACATATCCGATGAAATATTCCGACTCTTTGCAAATAAATCCAAAGTGCTCAGGGTTTTTTACGCCTTGTGCGCAACTGGCTACGTCTTTTAATTGTTTGTGCAGAAGAATCTGTTTTCTGTCAGGGCTAATTAATCTCAGATCAAATCGCCCTACCTAAAAAATATAACATTTATGTATAAAAAAATAAGTTTAAGGTTGAATCATTCTTTCTTCTTTTTTTTGTTACTATATAAATACGATTTTTTTATTACATCTCTTTTTATACATTTTAAAATCTCATACGCTTAATTATTATAATATAGTAGATTTTATATATACAGGGTGTCCCGTAAGTTTTGACCAATCGCTTTTTTGTAGCTAGAGCGGACTAAATTGAGTCAAAAAGTCCTCTACCATTTTGCAATTTTCGTAATAGTTAACAAGATATTAATTACTAAAAATTACCAAATATTGGTCTTGAATAATTTTTTACTCAAATACTGTCAACTTTACAGAAAAACTGTAAGAGACAAAAATCATTAATTTTCTTCTCACAAAGTTCTGAGAAATTTTTCAAAATTTTTTCGGAATTTTTTCAGAATTTTTTCAGAAGTTTTTAATATCGTATTTTCTCATGTTGATAAAAATAAGAAAATGCAGTACTAAAAAATTCTGAAAAAATTCTTAGAGTTCTATGAGAAGAAAATAAATGATTTTTGTCTCTTACAGTTTTTCTGTAAAGTTGATAGTATATGAGCAAAAAATTATTCAAGACCAGTATTTGGCAATTTTTAGTAATTAATATCTTATTAACTATTGCGAAAATTGCAAAATGTGTGGTAGAGGACTTTTCGACTCAATTTAGTCCGCTATATCTACACAAAAGGGATTGGCCAAAACTTACGAGACACCCTGTATATATATCAATAACGATAATAAGATAATTAGTATCATTATATATATATATATACAAATACACAAGTGAAATGCAATAAGAATAAAAAGACATTTTTCTTATATTCCATACCTGAAAAACCATAGTGCGATTGTGATCATCGTTTCCTTTAATAGTAGAATCTCTTCTGCCACTTAAAACACTGCCAGTAGATGCCGCGCGATTTCGCATAATTTCAGGTACAGTGATATTAGAAGTAGCGGAAGATTCGGTTCGATTCTCATCACGACCATCGTTTTCTGCGGGGTTGGTGGTTGTTCTTGGAAAAGTCTCCACGGAGCTACTTAAGACTGGCGGTATTCCAAGCGGATTCACGCTTGGAATTATATTATTTCCCGACACGTTCTCAATACTGCCTGATTCACTGGCGGTAGATTCCTGAAAATATAACGATAAATTTCCTTTTTTACTAATTATAAGTGTGAAAATCATTTCTGTTCGTAGTAACTATATAATCATAAAGACAAGTAGAAGAAATATTTTTCACGGCATTATCCATCATAAAAAGAGATTAGTAATGCCAAAATTTAAATTTTTTTATTGTTATAACATAGATAATTTCTAATTCAATGTACCATAAATGGTCTAAAACAGGAGTATTCAATAGCTGAGAAAGTTTAGTTCTTACCGTACTGTTTCTCCTATTAATGGAAGACATTAAAGCTTGACGTTTCAATCGCTGGCAATCTGACAGAAGATTACTCGTTGAAGATCTCGATTTTTCAAGTCCATGAACGCGAAACTTTATCAAGGCGTCGTCAATGAATGATTCTGGTACTTTTGGACTCGATACTTTGATTTTGCCAATATAGAATACCTGAAATCCAAATGCAAAAAAATGTGGAGACATTATTCTTAAATTTTAGGGCCGGTTGTTCCACTTTTTGATAAATTTTACCTGTTGGGTATAAGTAGCAAGATTACCCAATCACATGCGAAGATTACCAGATTTACCTCACAGGTAAAATTTACCAAAAGGTGAAACAATCGGCCCTTAGACGATTAAAAGATAAGTAAAGATCAATATAATAGCAAAGTCTTCTTTTTAATTCATTATTCATTTGTTTTACTGACGTTCCATACAATGAAATAGACTCTTCTCGGATAGTTAAACTATTGTAAGGAAAAATATAAAAAAGGATAATTACTTCAAAGAATTGGGAAGAACTCGGAGATATATCGGCACCTATAGAAATTAAGCTAGCCGCGCTGCTCTGCGACCGCTGTGGCGAGTCCTTATCTCTCTCCATTCGTTGGGCTGCCGAATGTTCCTTCATGTCTTTCAAGGACTCTTTACAAATCTGCAAATAAAACATTACGGCATTACAATTATATAACTAGTCGTATTGACGTGACGAACTATTATCAGAACATATATTGTTAAAGAAGAAAAAATACTTATAAAAAGAGAAATAAAACAAATGACTGACTTTTGTTTCAAATGAGACTAATTAGTAACAAATTATGTTTCTTTTTTAAATAATACGTACAGCATGAAAGATAATAATTGCTGCTAAGTTTATAATTCAAAATCTTTTCAAATTTATTCACTTTCTACGTTACTGTATTTATAGAAGTATGATTTCGGGTAATAAAAAGTTCGTTATTTAGTGTTTTTATTATTTTAATTACAAAAAATCCTATTGATTTAATTAATATTTTTTAATTATATTTCGCTATGATAAAATGCTAATTCATAAAAATTATTTGTAACGTAATTTTCTTCATGTGAGAATATTCGCGAAAAGAATATCTGATTTAGAAATAATTCAAGATACAAAATATATGTACGACGGGACTGACCATTGATATACTAACTAAACGGATTTCGCAAGGAAACGTGCATTAAACGTGGCCGATGGCCGTGGACAGAAATAACTTATTTCAGTAGCACTCGTGGACTGCATGGCTCTCATCCTCCGTCTTTGTTTCGAAAGAGCTCTCTCTCTCTCTCTCTCTCTCTTTCTAATTTCTTCCCACGTTCCACATCTGCTGCTCATCGTCTTTGTGACTTCGGACTTCGTCCGAAAAGATGCTTTAATTTAGCTCTATACATATATATATGCACACATATGTATGTAGAATGCATAATAATAACAAAGATTCGGCGCATTGAAAGAAAATTATAATGAAATGTAAAAAAGAGAAAGAAGAGAAAAAAAGAGATGTAATAAAAATAAAAGTAAATTGAGATTTCGGAAGATCTAATTTAGATATTGTAGAAATATAAAAAATTTACGATTAATGTGGGAATTATTCAGAGGAGAAAAATTAATTAAAAGCGTAAGTATTATAATATAAAAGAAAATTAATATCGCAGAATTAAAAAAATTAATATCGCAGAATTAAAAAAATCCTCTTTATGCGTTCAGTGCGTATAGTAAATAGATAAATGTATTTTGCTCCTTTTCATTTTGCAGCAATTGTTTTCATAACTGCTTATTTCAGAAATCTTGGATTTTTTTTAAATATGTATCACTTGATTTCGAAAAGTCCGTTTGATTCTTTTTGTACTTGATGTTATTATTCATATTTACGACGTGGGATTGAGAGCGACGTAATTTTCCTAATGAGTTCTTTACGGCCAATAGGCACGCAGATGAAAATTATAGAGAACAGGAAAATAGCGAGGATATATTATACTTATTATGACAATAACGAAAACGCTTTGTATAATGATAATTGCAATTTCCGACGACGTAAGTGTTCGTATAATCATGATTCTTTTGCGAAGATGATTGTTCAAAAATATCTTGATTATATCGCGAATATTTGACCAAATACTGGAAAAGCTCGCCTGTTTAGTGACATAGAAAGAAGATACTTAGTTAATAGAGGGGCTTCCAGTATCCAATTAAGGCACAAGCTTTGTTACGTCCCTTCCTGTGTTCCCGCAAAGTTGTGCAGCATTATTGGCATTCGATAGAAGCGTATCACGGTCCCTTCGTAGAATTTTTATTTATCAATTTCTCATTATATTCGACGTCACAAGTACATCATTAGGAATTTTCCGTTAAATAACATGAAATAATTAATCCATCAAGAAAAAAGCAAAAATAAAAATAGATACAAAAATGTATAAGTTTTATGATATAATCTCTACAGAGACATTTTAGCAATGTTCGGATATTATATTATACATATTGTTATACATTGTTTATTGGAATAATGTTTTACAATCTATAATAAATACACTTTATAAAACTAAAATTATGATTTTAATTTTAGAAAGATAAAGGTCTTTAGATTCGCTTATCAAAAGCGTACATATTTTTCTTAATAAGAACAATTCGCCGGGCAATGAAAATAGACGTTCGAACTATTCTACTGATGCTATTTTCTTCTGGCACTTGGCACTTTGTGTGCGCATAGAGGCTCATACATTCGACTTTGTCTCTCGTGCTCAATTGATCGAATTAATTTTGTTGGCGTACGTCATCAAATGATGCACGAATCGATGCCATGAACGTGCGATTAGATTCACGTGCGAGAGCAAACTTAATGCGTGCGTACAGCCGAGTTTCGTTTCAATTGAGACGATATAATCGGCCGTTCGTTAATGGATATATTTCTATTCAAGGATGAGCGTGATGTAAATTGCGCGAAATTGTAAAAAATCGTATGCTTTGATTAAAGTTTGATTTTCTTGAAGATTATCAAACAAAATTTTAATTCATTGTTATATACTTGTAGTAATTACGGCGTTATTAAGGTGAAATATGATAAACCAGATATTATAAACTTAACGTTATTTTAACTGTTCTGTATCGGCCATTAATACAAATTCTTACAATTCTTAAACCTTAAAATAATTTTATTAATATAATTTGAGTCCAAGAACCAAACTCAACTTAAAATATTCTAAAAATGTCATGTTATTACAATTTAAGCTCTTAGATTAGCTGATATTGAATAAATTCTATTTTTTCTATTGTTAGTAATTGTGTTACAAATTTTTCTCTAACAATACACAGAAAAAAACTTCTTAAATCAACCATAATATACCTACTCTCATATATAAGCAAAAATATTATAATCTTGCTTCAAAGATATCAATGATGATTTGATTAAATTTGTTTTGATGCAAGTATTACTTTGCACTTAATTCAAGACTTGCTCAATTAAAAATCTTATATCAATACAAATAAATCTTATATCAAGACTAAAATTTTTAAAGCAAGATTACAATATTTTTGCTTATATATATATATATATATGAGTATATTATGGTTGATTTAAGAATAGTCTTTTTTTCTGTGTAAGAATTAAAAAATTTATGTTAAGCATACACAAATTTTAATATTAGTAAAGTTGCTAGTAATGAAAAAAGATATTTTTTCGTTTTTATAGAGTAATTAATATAACATTTTCACACGTAAGGGAAAGAAGATTAGTCTTATTTGCATTTTATAATACATGAAAAGGCGTGTCAAGGTTGTGTATAAAAACAGCTAGAAAGGATACGAGTGCAATAAATTAAACGATATTAAGCCAATATAAAGAAGATAACTTAGAACAGTATGTGTATATTCCGACTGCATCACATTTGTAGACATCATTAACATGTATGTACATGTGTTTAAATACACATGCACAGTCAAGTAAAAACGATTATATAAACTGTTAAGGTCGAATCGGTATTGATTTCGCTTTTTGCTAGATTTCGATTTAACATAAATTTCCGAGTATATTATGCAAGTGTGACTTCACTTACAAAATTGCATAGAGCAGTACAGGAAAAAAGTACCTATCAAAACGTGTAACTACACTATATGCTTTAAAAACGTTGCGCGATTCGTATTTTATTGTTACGAACTACTTATTGTTAACTGCGACGAGCAGTGCTCTGCATCTGAAGAGTTTTACATTGACAGTAATTATGTGTAGCAGAAGGGCTGAAATGCGAGGAGCTAATTTATTCCGCGTGCGAATCTCCCTCGACACATGTCGGGACCAAAGAAAGAATCATTATTGTCTTTCTTTCTCCCACGAACAACCTCGAGGGCTGTACAATGCTTCTTTAACAGTCGCGCTGAAAGCACGATGATTATGTAAATGCACACATGAGAAGAATAATAATGTATTAATTACTAATAATTAGCGATAATGAGATAACTGTGTCACTTTTGATCGAAACTCGAATCATCAAGCTATTATTAAAATCGGATTTCCAAAGATAGAATTTTATGTTGTGTTGATTGAGCAACAATTATTATATATATTAAAGTAATTATTGGAAACGTTACAACTCATCGTTTTGGTGAAAAAGCCTTGATTATTAACTCTTTGCATTTCATGACTTTAATATTTTGTTCTACTAGCTCCAAATAAAAACAGAAAGATTCTGCAATATAAATTTTAGATACTTTTTTTAGAAATAAGTAAAAAGAATATATTGGATATTTTATAATATTATTAATATATTTAAAAAATAATTTTAGTTTAAATTTTAATAATGTAGAATATCACTTGAAGAATTTGCTCAGATGAAGTCTAGGTTTCCTTTCACATTAAATTTAAATTTGTTAAATATTGACACAATAACGAGAACACTGATATACATAATATGAAATACTAAATCATACAATAAGCAAAAAATTTTTAATAAAAAATACAAAAAAGCATATAAAAATTTTATCTTTCGTCTAGCTTGATCGATCGTGGTATTGGTGCTGGTAGAATGAAATATATCGAGACCAGCTTGACATTGTGTGCGAAGTCTCAAGTGTTAAACTCATAACTGCATTCTTTTAACTGTTTCTTGGAAAAATAATTAGTAAAGATACCAGATGATGTTCGAGATGTTGGGTATACTCGAGTATTAGCAATACTATTAGTAATATTAAACAGAACATCTTGAGTTTTATGAGAGTAAATAATAATTCATCATGCATAATTACATGCAGATAATTTGTCCTATTTAATCTGTTCACGGATGGTTCAACTTTTACTTGATTTGGTAAAGTTTATTCAAGCATAACGATATAATACTGTATAACAGCTCCACGCAAATCTAATCGTACTTAATATTCGACAAGTGAAGTTTGATGTAAATTATTCATATTTGATATGAACTTGCTTTTATGTAAATTAACTTTTTAAAAAAGTCCGTTATGTACACATCATTATACAAGACAAAATAATTAATTTACGTGTATTTTTAAATTGTATAATTTATAAACTGTTATAATTAAGAAAATATATATATCTATAACTTATTCACCTATAAAATTTTAATTTCATCTATTAAAAACAGTATAATTTGTACATAATTATAATTGGACTTAACATGGCTGGATTTGAAATTTTTTTTCAAATTAATTCTGCATTAACGAGTATTAATATTACATAAAACTAATTTTTGCTGTAAGGAGTGGAGCAATAAATATTCGAGTAGACTTCGGAAACTAATTTTATCGACACGATAATTTATTGAGATGCGAAACGATGCGATATATATATATATATATATATATATATATAAATAAGCAGAAAAAATAATTCTACTAGTATTTTTCTCGATGCACAAATATAAATAATCAAATTTCCTGTATATTTTTCCGTGTAATTTACGCCAACGATTTATATCGCATGTGACAGGCAGCGTGATGGCAGCGAAGTATAAGCGATCTCAGAAAAACCTGCTAGCTACCATCGCCCACCGTCATCTGCATACATAGTAAACATGAGGTTGATGAAACAAGAAGAAAAAAAAAGATATTAGCTTATAGTGCAGTGTTTCTCAACGTTTTTTAAATTCATAATCATCTTTCGCTTTTATATTCTATCTTTCTTCTATCGTTTTCTATTTTCCTTCATCACCTTTCCTAGCCCTATCTTCTTTTCACGAAAAAAATCAATATCGATTGTAGTTGGTGAAAGATTGATGACCTTATTAAAAATTGTGTGTGTTCTATTTAAAACTCCTGATCGAATATTTAGATTGATGGCGTTACAGGAGACGCATAATGAAAATTCTTACAAAATTTCTATTAAAAAATAACATTTTTTAAATAAAATAATATTTGCAATTGATAGAACAGAGTTTTGTAAAATATAAAAACTCTTTTTTTGTTGTGAAATTTTATTTCGGAATAGAATAAAATCAGATTTATCTCAATTCGACAGCTATCATGTAGTTTGTTTCGTTTTTAATTAATAAAATAAATATACGGATATAAATATACAGTTCATTGAATTATCGGTTGTAGGAGAGTTTTCGGTATACTTTACAAATCTATTCTGTCGATTGCAATGTTGTTTTATTAAAAAATATTTACATTTTAAAGTAGTTTTTTGCAAGAGTTTTGCTTATGTATTTTTCTTACTTTTGACGTCACAATCCAAGACAGTTACATTAAGTAGTCAAGAGCTTTGTTACATTTTTTATACATGTTAATAGAAATGCATTTCTGGAAGGCCATATAAAAAACTATTTCCGATAAGTAAATACTTCAACCAATGAATTTACCGGATCATTTTACCGTCAGACCGTCGTACGTAGTTATTACCGTGTTTTCAAGTGGCATGCGAAGATCACCACTTAAAATTCTCATCACGAATATGATTACATAGATAGTGCAACTTCAGTTGCTTTCAATAATTGATACATGTAAAGTTAATATGGGTTCTTGGGCTAAGGAAGTAATAATCATCGAATGTAGCGGTCATTGATATGAGTATCTGCTCATTATACAAGCATATCGAACATCGTAAAAGCACAATAAAGACTTTATATTACAATTAAGTTTCATGAATCACGTTAAGTAGATTCATTGCCAAGTTATAGCAGCTTTTGCAGAATTCATGTACAGGTGTGGTCCATATGCCATATGCTCGTGTATGTGAATTCTCGTTGCCAATTTTCGTATTTTCGTAATTACGTGTCTACGTAAAATTATCTTCAGTGTTACTGGAGCTTTGGCCAGAGTTAGTGGGACTTCGACCCAGACTTTGGCCAGACCTTCCGGGAATTCCGTCTATGAATAAAATGAAAATTGAGACGGAAAACTTTTGACAATTTTTCAATGTACAATTCCTCTGCTAAATTTTGTGACGCAGGAGGCGCACGAGTATGCAAACACGAGGAATCCGTAATTCGGACAGGAATGTCGACGATAGAAGCATTCGTGTTTCTTATGAGGGAATCGGAACACGGTCAGTCAACGGTTGGCTGGCAGCTGCTGACTTGAGATTTTGCTTGTCCGGCGAAGTAAATTTAGATCGCTCTACGCTCGGTTTCGCGAAAATACGCCTTTCCGCTAGCGGAAGGAAGGAAAAAAGGGACAAGGCTTAGTGATTTAGAAACGAGAGAATGTAATTGTAGAGTAGTTTTTTGAATAAGATTGTAAAGATCTGAATTTTGTCGTACATTACTAAAGCAGATTTTGACAAAGGATGTCAAGGTTTGACTGTTTTTCAGCCAAAATGAAAAAGTTTCGAGATGTACAGATTATATATTATATTAAAGAGTTACTTAAGTGGAGTTGAATGATACATCGTTTATCTTGAGGAAACATCGGGAACATGGAAGAAATCGTTACCAACAGCAATAAATTTAAAAGTTGTTAAATAAGATATGACGATATCGCGAGAATTAAGCAACAAAAACTGTATTGCAAGCACTCAAATACATATAACTTGATAAATATATTCGTTATTCGAAGCTAAAATTCAAAACTAAACGATTATTTTATATCAGTCTTCGTTGCTCGAAAATATCCTCCAAGTTATAAGTGTTGTAACACTCGTAACACTACAGTCCTTATTATTGAAATTCCGAAATGTCTTGATGTCTTATTTAACAATTTTTTTATCAATAAAGTCGTGACAACATTAGATTTATTGACTTTTATATCACGATTTCTCCCATATTTCTGATATTTTAAGCAGTTACACCACTCAATTCTATTTAAATAGCCCTTTAACATGATATACAATTTGAATACCTCGGAGATTTTTCATATTGGCCAAAAAACAGCCAAAACTTAACATCCTTTCTTTTGCGAATATTTAGATGGAAGTTTTACAAACTTACAACTATTAAAATAAAGAAAAAAAATATATAGTAAGTATGTTTCAATTTGTAAAATATTATCTGCGCAATTTTTTAATTTTTAATTTTCTGTGTTTGATGGACATATAAGAGAAATGCAGTAAATAATATAAAGTAAATTGAGAAAAACGGACGAGTTTTCAATGGCACTTAAAAATAGTGAATATCAATTTTTGGTAAAGATAGAGCGATGAAGTGTGCGGTAATGATCACTGGCAGATTTCCTGATAAGAAATCTAGGTGATGAATACATAATGAAGAAAATTAATAACACCATTATTTGTCATGACGTATCGAACAACACGTTCCACTTAGTCGCATCGGGTTAGCTCTAATTAACCCTTTGTCGCGCGTGTCGTCAGCAATTATGGTGAAATTCCTTGGTATCCTAGACGAAGGATATAAGTAAACAAAATTTTCCACATAACAGTTTATTCATATTTATGCAATGTTTATCCAATTCAAAAACGATCATAAAAATTCCGATAGCGTAAAAGATATCATTTCAAGATTAATACGCATTTAAATTACAGTAATACAGAAGATTTCTGGTAGAAAAGATTCCACAAGTTCAAAATTTAGTATGTTTTGTTAATCGGTATCGTTAAAAATTTAGTTTTTCTCGAAAATATCTGATTTTATGACAAAAAGACAAAGAAAAAAAATGTGGAAGCTGTTTACTTCATCTATAAGTAATTTTAGAGATGCGACAGTAGAAAATTACGTAAATGACTTTAGCAGTCATGAACAACTGAATGATTTGCTGAGGTATACAGTTTCACTAAAACTATCAATGCGAAGTGAACAAACACGCTACATATCATTACCAATCACAGGTGCGCTTACGTAATTACGAAATTTACGTAACTCAGAAGTACCGAGGATAGTATCAAATGTGATTTCAATGTTAGCGTCGAAAAAAAAAATGGTCGCGATTGTGTCACTCGATAAACAAGGTACACGTACTTGTGCATTCGGCAAAAGATGATCTTCCGCTGTCCTGACCAAGGGCTCCTTAGCGACCTTACTGCCGTCGCTGTAAGATCTGTAGGGGCTGGAGGCTGATATTGGTACCGTTATCATCTTGACTTCTGATCCTTCGCGTAATAAATTTGAGCGTTAGTCTACCGGTCTCATGCGGAATAAATTTGCACTCCTTATTACACTCGGTTACCTGGTACCTGTTTGTTCAAAATAACACGATCTTCAGCTTGTCGTCGAAACGTCATTGACCGAGATCAGAAACAAATCTTTTTTTTTTTTAATTAGCAACTTTTCCTAAATTTAAGATTACTGAATACGATTGTGGTTACGTTAAATATTTTTATTGACAATTTTTTTCAATGTCAATTGCTTTTAATAGTTAAGAACATTTTTCTAAAAGCAAAGTAGTGTAACGAAAAGTATTGTAAAGAATACTAAGTGAAAACGCTCTTGAATATAATCGATTTGTGAAAATATATATAAATTTATAGCCATAAAAGCAATCAATAGAACTAATGGAAAACTTTTATAATTTTTGCCAAGTTATCGACATTTATGTGCTTTCAACATTCTTGCATGACAGAATCGTAGGCAATTTAAACGCAAAGTAACGTGACCTATCCTTGCAATTACTTTTAATTTGTAAATATTTAATTATAGGCAAATTGTAATAGTGCTAATCCCGATAACAAGATTCTTATCATTAAAATTTATTCGAATTACATAAACTTACGATAAAATCTCAACTACATCACTGTTTTATTTTTCCAAACGTCACCGCGTTAAATTCTGCATGAATTTGTTCGTGATTTGAGAGGTAATCTTGTTTTTTCCGTGGCACTTGCAAAACGTGTTTTCGCAGTTCACGTTGCGTCGCTCGTCGTCTTCGCTGACGGCCGAGCAAACATAGACTGACGTATTGGAGCACGGCGACGCCACGGAACGAATGAACCACTCGACTGGTGGTTGCGCGCTGTCAGGTAATGCACGGTCCCTGTTTAGCACGTCCAATATTCCTCAAATGTGAAAACAATGGCGCAGTTACCACTCGGCATTAGAAGGGGTCGGCAATCATGTTTTTCGGAGCGGATTATTTGCCTTCCAGGCGAGATATTTCCGCACGACTAATTCTATTTTAACCTACAGAGGGAGTCCTAATTATTTCTTGAGCGAGGTTCAAGTATTTCGCCCTTAATTATTATACGTCTAAAGGGTTTAATATGAATTAAAGAACTTTTATTATATTTGAAGGGATTTAATCTTTTTAGAGAGTCCAAAAGTATAGTTTGCTGATCATAATCACGTAATTTCTCTAAAAAAATGTCTGGTTAAAAATGGACGAATTAGAAGATTTTGATTATATCGATCAAAGTTCCTGTTATTACAACTAGAATTTAATAGATTTAACGAGAAAATTTTCATCGTCCATTTTCAATCGAAATTTCAATTAATCTAGTTAGATATTTCACGTCTTATAAGTTAGCGGAACAAAATAAGCAGAATCAATTCTAATTAACATTTTTATTTGTTGCTCATTTGTTGCTAAAATGTTACCAAAGAAAAAATTCTTTGCTCTGTCAGTTTTTTTTTAAATGATGTTTCGCTAAAGGAAGATTAAAGTTAGCGGAACAATCAGGAGACGCGGTAGTGGCTCCGGCCATGTTCAAAAATCAAAAATAAGAGATAAGAGACACTACAAGTCTCTTATCCTGTACCACCAAAGTCCATTTTTGGAGATTGCATAACTAATAAAATATAAAAAATTTTGAATCGTATACATATATAACAAAGCCAATCTACTTCAAAATAACGTAGGAATTTGTTGCTAATTTGTTGCTATCGAAATATTCTAGTTTTGAATCCATTATCTACGAAATAAGCGTAAATATAACAACTAAAAACCTCAGCAAGCTGGCGAAACAAGAGTAAAGCATTAGTAAAAAATTTGTTGTTCGCTTAAAATTGATACTGAGATGTCATCTGAATTTGTTGCTCGCTTAAAATTGGTACTTCCAGCATATTGAGATTTTCACATCTATTAATCGGATTAATAAGTGTGAAAATCTTTCAGTATGCAGGAAGTACCAATTTTAAGCGAGCAACAAATTTTGACTAATACTTTACTCTTATTCCGCTAGCATGCTGAGGTTTTTCATTGTTATTTATACTTATTTTGCAAGCAACAAATTTGTAACTTGCATATTCCGAGAGCAACAAAGTTAGATGACATCTCAGTACCAATTTTAAGCGAGCGATAAATTTTTTACTAATTCTTTACTCTTGTTCTGCCAGCTTGCTGAGGTTTTTCATTGTTATTTATATTTATTTCGTAGGTAATGAATTCAAAACTAGGATATTTCGACAACAACAAATTAGCAACAAATTCCTACATTATTTTGAAGTAGATTGTTTTTGTTAAATGTATTATATTGTTCCGCTAACTTAATCTTTCTTTAGCAAAACATCATTTAAAAAAAAACTGGCAGAATAAAAAATTTGTTCTTTGGCAACTTTTTAGCAACAGATGAGCAACAAATAAAAATGTTAATTAGAACTGATTCTGCTCACTTTGTTCCGCTAACTTATAAGACGTAGATATTCTCAATGTACTGATTCACGTGAGAGAGGATGCTTGAAAAAATGCGAAAGAGTGTTAATTTGCAAATTACTATTCTAAAAACAATAAAGACGAAAAGGATGATGCATATGCAGTCCGAAAATAAATTTTAAAGATTTACGCTAAAATTTTAAATTAAGAAATTTTATAATTTGAATAAAATTATAATATGGATTAAAATATACAAATAAAGAAGATGATTTCGGTCTTCTTGCTTTGATATTAATTTCTTGTATTTATACATACAGTCTAGATACGTGCCTGTTTTGACACGGTAGATCTCTATGTATTATCATACGTTCTCGCATTTATGCAGCAACAGCACTCATCGCAATTTACATATTCGTATATTATCACGAGTGTATGCGATGTGTCTTTCGTAAACGGAGATGAAGCAGCGAGACGATAAAGCGCGTTTGGTGCCAGCGATGCATAATCAGTTTGTTCCACCAAGTGATTGCGATTGTATACGGAATGGAGTGATTTCTGTTGGGAATGAAATAAGAATACCAATGCGTGTGTGCCAGTGAACCATGAAAGGTCCTTTCGTTTCTTTTTCTTGCAATTGCGTAAGCACTCCTATATGATACGTTACTGTTGCACTCGTGAAGGACGTATTGAGCGTCATTTTTAATCATTTATGCAGCCAACATTAAAAAGTGTAATGGACAAATGGAAAAAACATGATACACAAAACATTTTGAAATTGTAAATACGATTAAAAAATAAACAAAATTTTTTAAGATTTTTCTTGCATAGTTTAAATTATTTCTAATTATATAAATTAATAATTCGACATCATATCGTGATTATTAACTCTTTTTTATTTTGTCATTTGGCTATTTATGTCATTAAAAATAATAAATGTCAGAAATCGCTTGATATTCTTGTGTACTCACAAAATGCATAATTTGAAACACATTTTAGTAACATAAATAACTAAAATTGTGTTTCTTTATGTTAGTCACCATGCGTTTAGTACAGGACACAGCTGATCACGAGATAAAAAACAATGGGATCATCGGAGGATTAACGTTAATAGCTTAATAGAAAACGTGAATACAATTGAATAGCAATGCTGGAAAATTCCAGCAGTGAGATCCTGCGCTTGATCAGATGTGTCATCCACAAAAACCGATGTAGAAAACATCGATAATAATACATGAGAAAGGAGATATCTACACGTGTAATATCAGCATACCGAATTAGTACATCAACCAGGAATCGATCAATATTATACTCATTGACTAGTGGTATCATGTAGAACTATGTAAATGCTGTAATAATAACACTATGTTATTGATCCCAGAATGCTACTTTCACATTAGTTTAAATCGATCTATTAAAGAGGTAGTTATGGTATACAACGTCTATCACTATCTTGCTGACATTAAAAAAATAAAACTTGAAAGAATGGAATATAATCACCAATATTATACTTTACTATTTCTTTATATTAATTGCTATGTCATAATTAATAAAAATATTTTAATTATCTAATATTATAAATATAATAAATAACTAAATAAATAAATAAATATGTATATTATATATATATACATATATATTCTTTTATGCAAAAAATATATTAAATAAAAACATAAAATGCAATAAATAGATATTAAACATTCATATGTAAATTATTATACAGTGACCTATCTATCCTGAAATTAAATGCACAATTCGCAGAAACGTAATAAATTGATCTCAACAAAGAAACAGAAAAATTAAATAAATTGATCATCGTTAACACACTGGTTACTGCATGGTAATTCACGACTGGTGCCTGACTTTTCAATAATGCCTTGGTCACTGTAGTAATCGACGATATTAAATTTTTTTTTAAACGCTTGTAAAAAAAGCAAATCATCTAATGACTGAAATTTCTAATAAGTTTGTTATTTTTAACTGAATTTTTGCACGGTTTATCTTTCCTTTTTCTTTCTTCATGTTGAAAAAAATGATATAAGATGAATAATCCAAGAAATTCAGCTGAAAGAACAGATTTATTGATATAAATAGCCAAATAACAATGTAAAGTAAAAAGTGTGCTATTCAGCACAATACTCATAAAGATATATGTATAGTCTTACACAGAAAGAACGATTTTGCTGAAATATTAACAAATTTAGCTAACAATAAATACAGATCTGAAGATAATTACGTTGGAATATCAAAATAATTATACGTAAGAATTTTAAGCACAATGAGCAAGGCTACAGAAAATTTTGGCGTTCTAGCAATTAGTTTGAATATCCTATACATAATTATTTTCATGATTATTTTCATAAAATTCAATAAAATTATTTTCAGATTTGTGTATCTAAATAGCTATATATTTTTAAATACTTCAGCAAAACCATTTTTTTCGTGTACCATAATATTTGACTTATGATAAAAAAATTTCGTTATGGCGTATACAAGACATACAAAACTCGCTGGGCAGACAACAGGCTTGTTCTCTTCAGCTGAATTTCTTGCATTGTCCTTCTTTTCTCTTTTTTCTCTGTGGAGAGAAAAAGAACTGTGTAAGAAGTTCAGCTGAGAAAGAACAGATCTAATATATTAATCTAAAAAAAGCTTATAGATTTATAAACTTTTTGTGTGGATGCAATGCATTTAATTTTC